CCATCTTTTAGGTTTTGGGATATGCGGCAGTTACCAACCCAAACGTCGCTGGCAACAGTTCAGCTTCCGGAGCGCGTCTACTGTGCTGATTTGTTGTACCCGATGGGCGTCGTAGGCCTAGCTAATCGACACATTAAAGTAAACCTTTGTACATTGCTGCAGCAGTGATCTGTTATGCAGTATTGTTACACTATCTTATGCTTTCCATCCAGTTTTCATGCGTTTTTGCAAATTTATGAAATGCAAAAAATACGTATTGATTTTGACTGTATGTATATGTATGTGCGTTCGTATTCTGTCATCCACTTTTAAATTAGCAGGCATAGAAGCTCCGAAGCTGAAAATTTTGGAACATTTTCCCGCCCCAAGTGCGTCTTTCCCGTTTTAAAATTATTAGCCACGTATGCTTGGGTTCATTTACGGATGCCGAAAAGAAAGCATTTTAATTTTTTGGCGGAAACAATTTCGGTAATCAGACAAAATAGAAATCTGAAATTTCCTGTTTCTTTCGGGCATAAAAAGTGTGTTAGCAGCTATCACTCACGCTAACGTTTCGCCTAGGGAGACGGCAAATTTTAGGTTGCAAATACGCAGGTTCGCAGCGAAAATCCTGGTGAGCATTGCTACCTGGGTTTATCTTGTTGTTTTGCTTGAACGCATGTCTAGAAATTAAGTCTGTTACAGAGAATCTTTAGAATGCGAAGAATAAAAACTCATCACTGCTGCAGCGTAAGAAAATTTGCACATAATTGAGTTTTTTTTTTCGGAATAATGTTCATTGAAAAATTGTTTTAGGTTTACAAATTGGACAATGAACCATCTGAAGTGAAAGATATTGAAACACCTTTGAAATATCAGGTAAGCCATCTCTGCCCCTTTCAATACTAATTTTGTCTTCACTGATCTGACCACTTCTAGGTGTTCAGCTTAAAAATGAAACGCGGCTTGCATTCGTAGATGTACAGTTTGTGCACTACCGTTACACACTGTCTAACATGCAGTAGTTATTGCAGTTTTTTATAACGCTGCAACAAGCAGCAAAAATGCATACTGCAATGACCCTGTCTGTGTGTGTGTATGTGTGCGTCTCTGTGTGTCTGTGTGCGTATGTGTGTTTGTGTGTTCGGATATTTCTACTTGCCAGCTACGCATGTTTTAATGCTGGAATTTTGCCATTGTTTTACCTGGTCATGTGCTGCCCCAGTTGATATCAACTGTTATGCGAGCCTACGTCTCAGGTACGGACACGTGAAAGTTTAGGCGGAAAAATTGCTAACTCGTGAACGAAAGAAGTTAGGAAATTGAAATTTTAGGAGAATGTTCATTAATGTACAACCAAAAGAATTCAAATTCAGCGCCTTAGAGCCGTTCATTTCTCACATATGGGCAGTTGAAAGTTTTGGCAGGGAAATTGCTAACTCTGAGACAAGAAAAGCTGGAAGGCTAGAATTTTAAGGGGATGATCCCTGCTGTGTGCGACTAAAAGGCTTCAAATTCAACTCCTAGTGGTGTCTTTTTTGCGGTCCAACAACTTTCGATTTGTCGGGTTACTGAAGCGGACATTCACAACTGACACACCACATAGATGTCTAATTCTTGAATTTCGAAGGCCAGTATGTCACAAATTTCAGTTATTGTGATTTTTTACGATCTTACTGCAGCACGAAATATTGCAAAAACGTGTGGTCGCACCGGCCCGCTTGGTGCGTCCCAGCCTGGATTTTTTTATTCGTTTTGTGCTGCGTAACAGCAGTACAAAACGCATATGGTTACGGAGTTGTCTGTGTGTGTCCGCAACTTTCAACTCGGGAACCACAAAAGATAGGAAGCTGAAAATTTAGGAGAACGTTCCCCACCTACATGCGACCCTGCAAGCTTAAATTCAGCCTCCCAGTACCCACGAGTAACACGTACGGCCCCGTAAAAGTTTGTGGGCGGGTAAAATTATTATCACGGGAACCACGGATGCTAGAAGGCTGAAATTTTGTGAGCAAGATCCCGCCTACGTGCTACCCAGAAAATTTAAATTCAGGTTTCCTCTGCCCACCTGTGAAAATTTTTGACGGGTTAATTATTATCTCAGAAACCACTAAGTCTACGGAGCTGAGGGTAATTACTCTCTGCCCACGAATTTTAGGGTAATGACTCTCTGCCCACGAACGATCTTGCAAATTCAAATTCAGCGTTTTCGCGCTTTCGGTATCACTTACGGCTACATGAAAGTTTTGGCGTTAAATTATTATCTCGGGAATCACGGAAGGGTGAATATCCTTATATTTACCCTTAAAGTTTTCAAATTCAGCTTTCATGCGCCGACGCGTGAAATTTTTAAATATTTTTCAAAGCTTCAACTATTTTTGCACAGATTAAAGTACAAAGCAGTGAAAATCATTAACAGGCAATAGTTCGGTGGGCGGAATTGCGCAAAACGCATGATCGCACGGGCTATTCTGGCGCGTTTTGCTATTTATTTCTTTTGTCCTTCACCATTCATCTGTTTGCCTTTTTGTTTTCTTATATGCTTTTACGTCAAAGCTGCTTTTATTGCTTCTCATTAATGGAAGAACTGTGGTAAAATGCTGACACTTAGTTTTCTGTTTTGTTTCGATCTTAGTGTTTTTTCATCTCATTTCGCTTTTTTAGATTCGTTGCTTGTCAATTTTCAAAGATAAAACAAACGGATATCCTTCTGGTTTTGCTGTTGGATCTATTGAAGGTTCCTTGCTATTTCAGTTCATATTCAAAATTTGAGCGTTTTCTTGTTACATGCCTGGTTTACGTTAGTTTTGGCTTAGGTTACAATTTGGCTTTTCCGTAACTGTTCTAGTATTGATATGGCCATTTCAGATTTAACTCATTAGAAGGAAAGTGTGCTCATTTTTTTCCACAAATGTCATTTACTAAATAAGTAGAAGAGAATGAAGGATTTTTGCAGCTTCTTTAGCTTTTTGTCTAAGAAAAGGATTTGTCTAAGAAAAGCACTCATGCCCATCACCTGCAAGAGAGACTGGAAATTTTTTGCGAGTAACTCGCTAACTTGGAAATCTGAAAAGCTAGAAAGCTAG